CCGCACAGCCCTTCCCGCCCTGAGAATGGGAGGGGGGAGCCCCAGACCTCATCGTGCCAGTTGCCTAGCATCAGTTCGGAAGCTAAGCTTCAACCAACGCGAAAAAAATGCCGACCGGTGGGAGGGAGGGTTGCCAGGAAGCCTCTGGGGCTCACCCAGAAATTGGCCTTTCATTACATTCAATGCTGGTTTTCTGTGGGGAACCCCTACAGCTCCCTGGAGCTTCATACCCAAAGAGAAGGAAAAGAAAGGGCTGACCCGGGAGGCGGCCGCCACAAACTCCGCAACGCCAAGCAAATGTTCCCAGAGGAATAGAAAACGGGCAGAAAACACCAGAAAAGCAAAGAAACGACAACAGGAGAATAAAACCCCTGAACAAGGTGAAAAAACTCATCCAAGATGCTCGCTCGCACACCCAGGCACATGTAAACAAACCGCAACGCCGCCCTGGTGGCCATGCCGGGAAACCGGCAGAAGAAAATGGCCACCAGAACAGAGGGCTGTTACTGACGCAAAAGATACGAAAAACACGCCAGCAAAAGTGGGAAGCAAGCGGACTGGATGGGCAAAAAATTCTGCCCAGAAGCAGAAAACCCAGGCAGGGACAAACCGCCCCAGAACTGCTAGCAGGCATCCCCCACAGTCCCGGGAACCCGCAACAGAGGCCCGGGGCAGAGCCATTCTCCAAGCCCTCCGCCCTTAAAGAAAAGGAAGAGTCCATGGGAAAGGCAGCAAGAAAGGGCCGCTGGCAAGACCCAGAAGCCTTGGCAGGAGGAACAGGCTCGAAAACCTCCATCCCCAACCCGAACGGGACAGCTCCTGAAACCGCCCGAGTCTCGGCCCCAGCTAAACCCCGCCCCGACCCTGAAACCCGCTGACAGTCCGGAGCCGGGAACAGGGAGGGAAAGGGGCGAACAGCACCTAACCAAAACGGGGTGGCCCCGGGGCATCTGAGTGGGAAACCAACCTAGCGTGTTGCAGCAACCTAACCTAGCTTGCAACACGGATGCCGCCTGTACTCTGAACAGTACAGTAATAACATCAGGAGAGTACTAGAGAACAAGCAGAGAATATCTCTCGCAAGACAAGAATCAGTTGTCAAGGTGTCAGTGACCCAACAGGCAACATGATGGAGGTAAAAGTGGCAACTGTCACCCAGAGACAAGGGCACAACAACCAACGATCCCATACATGACGGGTTGGATCCCGGAAGACACATTCAATGGTCCATCGAGCCCCGACAGGGGTTTCCAGGGCCCGTAGGGTAACAACTACGGGAAGCCCGGGCAAAGTGTTGCTAACCGGTTAAGAAACCCAAAAATAACAAGGGGGTAGAGGACAACACTGAAAACCCCTGCGACGTGTACAATCACAGGGGCCTAGCAGAGGGCCACCAAACACTACCAGTGGAACTATAGCCACACTAGGCAGACCCCCACCAGGCAAATGAAAATAAAAACAAAAGAAAAACCCCGCAAAAGTACACCGTCTCCAGAGGCAACAGGAACCGGTCGCCGCTTAGGTGGCAGGTCGCGCAACACCTTGACACCCTAACCAGCACAATACCAGTCCCTACCCAGGACCAAACAAGGGCCCCAAGCCCCAGCTGGCCCCAAGGGCGAGGCAAATGCCAAGCAGCAAGAACCTCTACGGGAATGGTTCCAAAACGCCCCAGGGAAGATAACTCTGTCACGCAGGGGCAGTACTCACAAGGCGTTTAGGGAAGGAAGCCCCCAAGTGCATGCAGCCCTGGTACTGATGAGGAACACCTGGTCACCGCACAACACAACACACAGCAGTGAACACCACACAAGGCAAACACCGCCTAGGAAACTGCAGCCAGAGAAGTGTCTATCCCGGTTGACATTAGCTTACAAACTGATGCTAGGCAGCCGGCGTGGTGAGGTCCGGGGCTCCCCCCTCCCCCTCTCGAGGTGTGGAGGCCTGCGCGGACGATCGGCGCGGCAGTAAAATGTGATGTTTGCTTGTTTCATTGGAATTGTAGGGAGTTTCTACCTCTCTGTTCGTTTTTTTGTTTTAGTTTTTTACCATGTGGGGTTTGTTTTGTTATGCCTACCTTGCTAGGTGCCTAACCCCTGTCGATGGCAGATAAGGAAAACTCCAACCACAAGGTGGTTTTCCAGGGCCATTGCTCCCTGAAACCTCTCTGAAGGGGCCAGGTTCTGTCGCTGGTCCCTGGTAGGTCTGAACTCCTTAGCTAATGTCCCAGTCTAATATAACATACATTAGCCCGATAAGCTCCAGGGAGCCGTAGGGGCTCCCCACAGAAAAATACCTCTGAGGAAACAACTCTCAAACACTACTGGGAAAATAGCCCTAGCAATGCAAGGGCAGCAATAGGGAAGAACATAGGGAAAGTAACCTGCACACATGCAGCTCCTAGCACACATTTAAAACATGGCTTATACCACACCGCAGTGTACAGGAAACACCACCGCTTAGTTGAACATGCAGAACACCGGAGCCAGCACGGAAGAGAGGCGACCTGATACCCACTACATCAGCTATAGAACTGGGAGCTGGGACCCCAGCTGGTGGCGAGTTATCTCCCCATTCCCCCCCAAACGAGTGGGGAAGGTGGGAGGAACAAGCTCACGCTAGTTCTGAGAGAATTCAATGGTTTGTTTACATAGTTGATAGCAGAGGAAGTTCTTTCAGCAGGCTTCTAGGCTACGGGTCTCGTCTCATTTGAAGCTAGCAGTGGTTTGTTTTGACTCGCTGACTTTCTGATTGACTTCCCCTGTGAGGTGGCAAAAATAAATGTCATCACTTTTTGCACCTCTGTAAGAAGGCTAGGTTCTGGCACTGGTCCTGGGTAGGCCTATAGAACTCCGTAGTTGAGGCGCCATAGAAGATGGTACCATCTCAGCATACAGTAGTTGCAGGGAGCTACGGGGGGCTTCCCCCAGAAAAGACTCTGTCGAGTCCCACACAAGAGATTATTTTGAAAACTGGAATGTACTGGAGGGGCGAGAGCTAGACTGTTGACATCGATGAGAAATTTTCTGACAGATGAGTGTGGTAATCAGACAGCCCATCCTCCAAAAATGGGGAGGTAAATGTAACGGCTCCATAAGTGCAATTATGTACTTTGTATGATAGTCAGGAATTGTACATATTTACACTAAGTATTAAATCGTACTGTCAAATATATTGTGAATATTTCAGTTTACCTGAAAAGCTGAATAGAAAACCACGACCTAACCTATCCGTCTTAGTTTTTGAAGATAAGCATTTTATTGTTTCTTAATTACAATTACTACTTAACCTGTAGCTATATTGATATTACAGTTTTATAAAACAAATAAAAAAAAACTAAAATATTTAAATAAATTGTAAAGTAACTCAGGATATTTTCAAATTTTGTATAAAATCTCTATTGTTTAATTAAATTGAAAAAGAAATTTTTGATATTTAAAACTTGTGTATAGCAAACTGAACTGTAAAACTTCATCCTAAAATTCTGAGTGTCTTAACAGAAAATGAGAATTAAATGGAGAGGTAAATGTAACAGCCCCATAAGTGCAATTATGTACTAAATATGAGTCAGGAAATGTACTTATTACACTTAGTATTAAAATGTACTGTCAATTCGGAGGATGGGTTGAATCAGAAGCAATGTATTGGTCTGGTGGCGTTTTACTAGTGGAGTACCACAAAGGTTCAGGTTCTTGCACCAGTAATGTTCACCATCTACAGTATATAAAAGAACTACCAGAAGGAATACAAAATCATATAAACATGTTTGCTAATGATGCTAAGCTACTAGGGAAGATATGAGCCTTGGATGATTGTCATGCCATAGTCATACCCATGTCATAATTAAATGTATGGTGAAATACTAAAAGCTGTTCATGACTTCAGAGACTAAAATTGTACTGTGGTGTTGTGGTGCCCATATCTCTAGAAGCACGTAAATAAACTGGAAAAGGTACAAAATGGCTTCAGGAGCTGAAAAACAAGTTATGAAAAGAGTCTAGAGGCATTAAGTATGAAAAAGCTAAAAGAAGAAAAAGAAAAGGTTCTGTAATACAAAATAATAACGGAAAAAAAACAAATTGACAAATAGGAATTCCTGAAACCGGCAACCTCGGTTGTAGGAGGCCTGGGTGATGACCAGGCCATGGGAATGCTAAAACCTGAAATTAACACAAGTTAACCTCAAGGACAAGAAGTCATAGATTCAAGCTAAGGAAACAAAGGTGCCAAAATAATGTTAGAAAGTTTTCTTTTTTAAATAGAGTGGTAAATGGTTGGAACAAGTTAAATGAGAAGATGGCAGAGGCCAAAACCCTCAGTACCAGTAGTTTCAAAAGCGTTAAATGATAGTGCTGGGAAGACAGGACACCACGAGCCTAGCTCATTCTGTAACTACAAGTATGTAATTATATTAGGAGTGTGGGTAGACGAGATGTGGGCATGGCCACTGGGGTCCTGATTGTCCTCAGGTCAAGCCTTAGTTTTTACTTTAAAAACATGAGAAGAATTTTTGAAAATGCAACTTCAAGAACAAAAGACCATAGGTTCAAACTAAGGAAACAAACCTGCCAAAAACAATAAAAGTTCACTTTTGCAAACAGACTGGTAGATGGTTGGAACAAGTCAAGTGAGAAGGTGGTGGAAGCCAAAACCATCAGTAGTTTTAAAACATTCCATGAAAAAAAGTACTGGGAAGATGGGACACCATGAGCGAAGCTTTAATCCTGTACCCACACTCACGTAAATATCTATGTAATTATTAAATCTTTATGGGCTGATCATGGGAAGGGCTTGAGAAAATTAATGAGACTAAATGGGATAAATTTTTGCATCTGCATAATTAGTGCATATAAACAAATTACTTTGTAATAAGCTAAAGGTTTTTCTACACATTGAGAAGGATGTATTGAAATAAAAGATATCCAACATGAAGTTAAACCACAAATGTTTTATTGTTAAAACGTGTTAAAACCAAGAAAAACCACAAAAGTTAATCTCACCATGATATCTTGGTAGGAGGGTAGATGACTCTACTTGCTGATCCATCAATGAATCCCAAATTAGGGCTACTTCGCATTTTACTCTGGATTTACCCTGCAAGAAACCAGCACTTCATGAGTATAAACTTACTTCTAAAAGGACAAGTGATGATTAATATCCAGTACATGTACATTAAAAATAAAGTGTTGAATGTAATGAAATGCTCTCTCTTAGTGTCCTCCAGTAGCTCCCATAGATAATCTCTTATATATTTATTACAGTATTTTTATTTATTTATATACAAGAAGGTACAGTGGGTTTATGAGAGTACATAGTATTTATTTATATACAAGAAGGTATACATTCTTGCAGTCACTAACACACACAATTTAACCCTCAAACCGCGCATATCATATATATATGATATCAGTGACAAAACCGAAACCGCACATATCATTTATATATGATTTCGTGTCTAGCGCTATAATTTAAACGCCCCGCGTGGGATAGGGGTAGTCATCAGCAAGCCTCAACCGACCATAAACAAACCCCGCCTGGGAATAAAATCCAGCGTGGGTCCCCTTTGTGTACTGGCCTCAGTTACCCGGTGGACACCATGGCAAGCGCATAAAGTTCCAACGACCGACCCCGCTCAGCAAGGCGTTCCTCGCGACCTCTGACCAAGGACGAAATTAATCGTAATTTGTTCCCGGATGGTGATGAGTCTGATATTGACGACTCAGACTTTGATCATGACTACACACAGCCCTCAGAGGTGGATACGACCGACGACGAGTATAAACATGCTGGCTCCACCAGGGCTATGTAGCATCTCGCCCATGCCTCCTCGCCCTCACTCGACCCCAATTTGTGCAAGAACACACAGTTCATATGCTCCCTTGCAAGATATTGATGTTTTGCTCGACGAGTCTGAAGGTGAATCATTTTCCGGTTTTAGTAACTTAGAATCGGATAATAGTTTCGCTAGTGCAAGTGGAGTGTGTGGTGTTGCCAAGCGACAATTTGTCGCGTCAGCAGCATCTGGCCAAGCCATGCGGCACCGCATGGCACCACATGAACAAAGACCCTCAACATCGAGGAATTTTCCATCACCGTCCCTGCCCCCCCCCCCCTACTGTTCCTAGACCTGCTTCAGCTCCTGGTCCACGGTTTCCTCGCCGTGGTGCCGCTATTGGCTCTCGAAAGACACCCAGTGTTTTTGTGTGGAGTGATGGGACAGACTTTGTTCCACAAATTCCTGTTTTTGATAATTCAGATGTTGGAATTAGACATTTTCCCTGATAAAGGTGCAGATATGTGTGAAATGGACTATTTTACTGCATATTTTGATGAGCCGCTAATGGAACATCTTGTTCACAAGACGAACAAATATGCGAGTGATCTCATTGATGAGGAAGAGTTATCAGATTTTTCACGTTTGCAGCGATGGAAAGATACGACTGTAGGTGAAATGTATGTGTTTTTGGCACTGTGTATGTTGATGAAACATTGTGTCAAACATGTAATCGACCATTATTGGAGCAAAGACCATACTGTTCCAACACCAATGTTCGGCAAATATATGTCTTGAGACCGATATGCGATAATCCTCAGGTGTCTTCACTTTGCAAATGATGAAGACCGGAATGATGACGATAGACTTTGGAAGGTAGGGCACGTCCTGAATGAACTTATTGGAAAATACAGGGATTTCTACGTACCAGCTCAGAAGCTTGTGATTGACGAATTCCTTGTGTTTTTCAAAGGACGTCTTGCCTTCAAGCAGTATATTCCCTCCAAACGCCACCGATTTGGATTGAAATTCTTTGTACTCTGTGACTGTGAAACAGGAATTGTCTTACATATGATAATGTATACGGGTACAAATGTAGACATTCCTGCTAATGACCAACATGGCCTCTCAGGTAGTGTTGTGAAGAAGTCACTGCTTGCACCATATCTGAACAAGGGCCACATATTACACACAACTATTATACCAGTCCCTTGCTAACTAGGTTCTTGCTTGATAATAGAACTGGAGTGTGTGGCACAGTGAAGGGAAAACGAAGGGAAATACCAGTGTTTCCAGGTGCTATGCAGGTTGGTGATTGCAAGCTCAGAAAAACAGGTGGAATACTTTCAGTGCGATGGAAAGACAGGCGTGAAGTGAACATGTTAACCACCATTCACACTGGAACAATGCTGGACAGTGGCAAAGTGAACAGAACCACCAGAGAACTAATCTATAAGTCAGATTGTGTCTTGGACTATAACATCAACATGCGTTTGGTGGATAAATGTGATATGATGGTGGGGGCAGTAGTGTGTGTACGGAAAACAGTGAAGTGGACCAAGAAAATGTTTTTCCACCTTGTTGACGTAACAATGCTGAACAGTTACAATATGTATCTTGTCAAAACAGGGTAGTAAACGTAATTTCCGTGCATTCAATTTTACTGTAGTAAATATATATAGATATTTAGGAGCTTTTGCTAGATATGTTCTTGAATGTTATATCATAAAACCAGCGTTGAATGTAATGAAACGCCAATTTTCTGAGCAACACAGAGGCTCCCCGGAGATAACCGGGCTGATATGAATGTATTAGACCCTGCCATCAGTCAATGCACATGGAGTTCTAGGCCTACGGGGACCACGAGCCAGAATCTGGCCCTCAGAGGCACGAGGAGCAATGGCCTATAGAAATGCCCGAGTGGTTGGAAGCATTCTATGTCTGCCATCGACCGGGTCAGGCACCCAGAAAGGTAAGCGCCCCAAAACAAACCCCCGATTTTGGTTAAAATATTGTTACTGAAAACTGAACTAATAGACTCCCTAAATGAACACGAGCAAACGAGCACGACATCACCACATCACCGCACCTCTGTCTGCACAACCCTCCTCTCCCAGGGAGGGGGTAAGGGGGGAGCCCCAGACCCCTGTGTCGGCTATCCACCCTGCAGTTCCATGGCTGATGTGAACTGGCAAGGTCATGTGCCTCTGGCTCTTTGTGTTTCCAGCTCTGTGCCTGGTGGTGTGGTTTTGTCTCAGTGGTGGTGCGCGAGCCAGAAGTTAATTCACAAATACTCGGGCTGCATGCGCCTAGGGTCCCCTTCCCGAGGTGCCATGTAAGTACTGTCCTTGGGGCTTGGGGGCCACCTTTCATAAGTCACCTTGGGGTCTACGTCCGCAAGGTCTTTTTCTGCTCAGTGACTGACCACCTTTGAAGTCAGCTGTGGTGTTTCATGCACCACTGTTTGCCTCTGGGTACGGGGTATTTTCGTCACTGGTTGGGGTGCAGGGTACTGTGCAGCTAGTTTTCACCTCTCATAGCAGCAGGCTCTGTTCCGCCAGGGTACGTTGTCCTCTTGCAGGGTTTTTCTTTTGTTTTTGTTTTCCTGCCTGGTGGGGGGGTCTGCCCCTTGGTGATTGATTGATGAAGATTAAGCCACCCAAAAGGTAGCACGGGCATGAATAGCCCGTTAGTGGTGGCCCTTTTGAGCCATTACCAGTATCAAGAGCCGATACTAGAGATCTGTGGAGGTGCGAGTGCACCCTGCGTGACGGGAGATGTCTCCCGTCACCTCTTGGTTTTGGTCACACCCAATTATATCTTAGTGGTCCTCCATAAGGACCCCCGTGAGCGTACACATCCCGGGGGTTCAGCTTTAGCAATTTGATTGGTAACTTTGGGCGCCGGTTAGCAGTACCCTGCCTGGGCTTCCCTTAGCGAGATATGCGACTAAGGGTCTCGAGAAACTCCACAGGGTCTCTTTGGTCCAATAGATACGACCCCTGGGTCCCATCTCGATTCATACAAATTTGAAGGGTCACCCTTGTCTCAGGGTGACACTCACTGGTTGTCCTTCAGTCATGCTGCCTGTTGGGTCGGTGACACCTTCGAGACCCGGAGTCCTGTGAGTTTAGTTCCTTGTTTGTACTCCAATACACCCAGTCCACATATCACGTGTCGCTGCCGAATACTGTCTCTCTGGTAGTATGTTCACTCACAGGATGACTGGCGCTGCCCAATACTTATTTACTTATTTATTTATATACAAGAAGGTACACTGGGTTTGAGAGAATACATAGTATAGTATTTACAATCTTGTAAAGCCACTAGTACGCGCAGCGTTTCGGCAGTGTCATACCGGGCGTTTCGGGCCCGTACCGTTCAGCGTTTCGGGCATAGTGACAATACTGTCACTATGGTGGTATATTCACTCACAGGAAAAGTGACGCTGCCCAATACTGTCACTATGGCGGTATGTTCACTCGCAGGTTGACTGGCACTACCCAATAAACTTGCCCCTCGGCCCAAAATTAAAATTAAATTAACAACACCTGTAGCAAGACGTACCTTCACCTATACTATAATGATATACAAATACAAGCTTTTGATGAATTCTGTACAACTTAGAGTCAACAGGGACTTCGCCACCTGACCAGCACTGGTGTACACGTCAACCATCAATAGAAGCATATACTGTAGTTTTAAAAACACATGATTTTGCGCAGTCGCCACTTTCCTCACAACAAGTCTGACCATAACAAACATGGCTGGCCTGCGCAACCACTGCTTAATTACGACGCTCAAACATTTTCTAGGGAACACACTATACTACACACGCAACGCCGGATGTAATAACAGTAATATCTTACGTGTTGCAATAATGAGGTGGAGAGTGAATGAGTGATATGAGCAAATGTTGGAGTAGCAAGGCGTCCCGGGCCCAGGTATGACGCGCGCACCACAACAACTCAGGTGCTACATCTCATACTCTGATATATATACATAGCACATACATATATAAATTAGAATTATGTATTACTCTAACTTTCCAATTAATCTCAAATATTTTATATTCTATTTAGAGTTGACATAAACGGAAGAGTTCATTGTAGTGCCCGGTATGATTTATTGTAATAATAATAATAATAATAATAATAATAATAATAATAATAATAATAATAATAATAATAATAATAATAATAATAATAATAATAATAATAATAATAATAATAATAATAATAATAATAATAATAATAATAATAATAATAATAATAATATAATAATAATAATAATAATAATAATAATAATAATAATAATAATAATAATAATAATAATAATATAATAATAATAATAATAATAATAATAATAATAATAATAATAATAATAATAATAATAATAATAATAATAATAATAATAATAATAATAATATAATAATAATAATAATAATAATAATATATAATAATAATAATAATAATAATAATAATAATAATAATATAATAATAATAATAATAATAATAATAATAATAATAATAATAATAATAATAATAATAATAATAATAATAATAATAATAATAATAATAATAAATAATAATAATAATAATAATAATAATAATAATAATAATAATAATAATAATAATAATAATAATAATAATAATAATAATAATAATAATAATAATAATAATAATAATAATAATAATAATAATAATAATAATAATAATAATAATAATAATAATAATAATAATATAATAATAATAATAATAATAATATAATAATAATAATAATAATAATAATAATAATAATAATAATAATAATAATAATAATAATAATAATAATAATAATAATAATAATAATAATAATAATATAATAATAATAATAATAATAATAATATAATAAATAATAATAATAATAAATAATAATAATAATAATAATAATAATAATAATAATAATAATAATAATAATAAATAATAATAATAATAATAATAATAATAATAATAATAATAAATAATAATAATAATAATAATAATATAATAATAATAATAATAATAATAATAATAATAATAATAATAATAATAATAATAATAATAATAATAATAATAATAATAATAATAATAATAATAATAATAATAATAATAATAATAATAATAATAATAATAATAATAATAATAATAATAATAATAATAATAATAATAATAATAATAATAATAATAATAATAATAATAATAATAATAATAATAATTTATTTAGGAACAGTACATACATAGTTGCAGCGTTACAGTACAAACATTCTGCTAGATTTAAAGATAGAGGTAGAACATACAATACCTAAAGCCACTAGTACGCATAGCGTTTCGGGCAATTAAGGAGAGGTGGGAAAAAAAACACTTAGACTAAAACTTATTTATTTATTTATCTATTTATTTATTTATTTATTTATTTATTTATTTATTTATTTATTTATATACAAGAAAGTTGTGTTGATTTAGGGGCGACGACGATCGTGGGATCGGATGCGCCCTATACAAGAAAGTATATTGGGTTTGTGAGAATACATAGCATAGTATTTACAATCTTGTAAAGTCACTAGAACGCGCAGCGTTTCGTCCTTAATGTAACAGGAAATTTTAAGTAGGTAAATTTTAGCAGATTTAATAAAATGATAACAGATACATTGCAAGAAAAAAATGAAATGAGAGAGATTAGTAAGTATATTAAAGCACATTGGTATATTAAAGCTCTGATTGATTACATTGACAGCTTGATTGGTAATTTAAACAAGATTAATAGACACCATACAGCAGATTGATAGCACATATAAGAAGACAGCAATGATCACAATGGTAAAGATGTTCCGATTGGGTATATAAAGATTGGGAGATTGAGTAGCAATAGATACAGTGCAATTTTAAAGCAAAAGGTAAAAAACTATGAAGATGAAATTAGGTACTTTTTAGTTTTGTTTTTCAATGATGCAAAAGTTGGACAGCTTTTACTTAATAGTACTTAATAGTAATCGAGCTTAAAGTATAAATTGTGTTGAATTAAAAAAATAATAAAAGATTAAAAAAGGGGGGGAACATGGTAGAAAATAGCCAATATACAAATTGGTTAACAAACAGCATTTTTTTTAATAGTAAAACATGGGTTGACATTTAGAAGTAAGGTAGGTTACATGGAGTTAATTAGGTAGTACTTAGTTTTCATCTTAAACTGGTTGAGAGAGGTACAATCTTTGACATAATTGGGAAGGTCATTCCACATTCTGAGTCCCTTGATTCGTAGAGCCTAGTTTGATTAAGTTTGATTAAGTCCTAGTTTGATTAAGTCTAACTCTTGGAATATCAAATAAGTATTTGTTTCTGGTGTGGTGCACATGAGTTCTGTTATAACCTTCTAGGAAGCGTTGAAGGTCAGGATTGACATTACAATTCAGAGTTTTAAATATATAGAGTACACAAGAGAGGATGTGCAGTGACTTAATATCTAACATATTCAGAGATTTGAGTAAGGGTACCGAGTGCTATCTGGGGCCAGAGTTTGATATTGTTCTAATAGCAGCTTTGTGTTGGGTAATTAGAGGATGTAAATGATTTTGGGTAGTAGAATGCCAAGCACAAATACCATAGTTGAGATAAGGATAGATGAGAGAGTAATAGAGTGTCACCAGGGCAGGGCGAGGAACATAATATCTGATCTTAGAAAGAACGCCAACAGTTTAAGAAATTTTTTTTTTTTTTTTGCTATATTTAGAATGTGTCCCTGGAAATTCAGCTTGTTATCGATGAGGACACCAAGGAATTTACCATCAACTTTACTACTGATTTGTATATTGTTTATTCATTTGAGGATTTATTACCAAACAAAATATAGAAAGTTTTGTCAATGTTAAGGATGAGTTTATTAGCAGTTAGCCAAAGATGAACTTTATTTAGTTCAGTATTCACAGTGACATTTAGAGCAAGAGGGTCAGGACTGGAGAAGATGAAAGTTGTGTCATCAGTAAATAAAATTGGTTTGAGGTGTTGAGAGGCATTTGGAAGGTCATTAATGTAGATGAGAAAGAGTAGAGGGCCAAGTATGCTGCCCTGTGGAACACCGATGTTTATAGGTAGTGTCAGAGAAATGGAATTATTCACAGAAACATACTGGAGCCTGTCAGTAAGATAGGACTGAAGGTATTGCATGGAGTGACCTCTGACTCCATAATGATGTAATTTAAGAAGAAGGTTTTGGTGGTTGACAGTGTCAAAAGCCTTATGTAGGTCCACAAATATCCCAACAGGGAACTCACTTTTGTCAAGAGCTGCATGTATCAAGTTAATCATACTAATAAGTGCATCGTTAGGGCTTTTTTGGGGTCTGAAACCATATTGACAAGAGCTTAGACCAATGCCTAAAGCCACTATTACGCAAAGCGTGTCGGGCAGGAAAAACATTAAAGACTTAAACTTAATACTAATTGAAATTAAAGTATAAAATGTGTTGAGAAAAAAATAAAAGTAATAAAGGGGGAACATGGCAGAAAAACAGCAAAAATACAATTAGGTCGACAAACAGCATTGTTTAAAAATAACAGACATGGGTTGACAATATAGGGGTAAGGTAGGTTACAGGGAATTTATTAGGTAGTGCTTATTTTTTATCTTAAACTGGTTGAGAGAGGTACAGTCTTTAACATGATTGGGAAGGTCATTCCACATATTTGATATTCCAAGAGTACGACTTAAATTAATCAAACTAGAAATGCGTTACAAATCAAGGGACCCAGAATGTGGAATGACCTTCCCAATCATGTGAAAGGCTGTACCTCTCCCAACCAGTTTAAGATAAAAACTAAGTTCTACCGAATTAACTCCATGTAACCTACCTTACCCCTAAATGTCAACCCATATGTCTTACTATTTTAAACATTGTCTTACTGTTTTAAACAATGCTGTTTGTTGACCAAATTGTATATATGCTATTTTCTGCCATGTTCCCCCCTTTCTTTATTTTGTATTTTTCAACACAATTTATACTTTAATCTCAATTAGTATTAAGTTTTAGTCTAAGTGTCCCCCCCCCTCACCTTGCCTGTAACGCTATACGTAGTAGTGGCTTTAGGTATTGTATGTACTAGCTCTTTCTTTAAATCCGACATTATGTTTGTAACTCATCTGCAATGTATGTACCTTTACCTGAATAAAGAATCTGAATCTGAATCTTAATGTCGATAAATGCAACATCTTGCATGTGTTGCTGGTGAAGCCTTATCTGAGGGACTCTAGGACGGGTCCTACAAGCAGGATAGATGTATCTTCGAAGGAAGGCAAGATTGTGCAGCAGGAACATGGAGGAAACAGCCGGAAGCCAACGACAGCCCATTTGAACAATGTGTGGAAGAAAGGAACGGAGACAATTAAGGCGAGCCTAGGGAAAGTAGGCAATGCAGTTGAAAAAATGAAACCTTGTGGAAATAAGGTTTAGGACAATATAGTGAACTCGGAGGTTGGTACTCAAATCTTGGAATATCTAAAAAAGAAAAACTAGACAAGATGAACAAATCCACAAGGGCCGTGATGAGGGTTCGAACCTCATCACGGCCCTTGTGGATTTGTTCATTTGATGCATCACGCTATTGTGATTTCTGTGTGTTGACAAGAGGATTGAGACATTAGAAAACTTAGCTACGGAGGGTAGACGGGGTGAAGATGGTGGTGAAACGGGACGTGAAATGGAAAGTGAAACGTGCGTAGAAGAAAGTAAGGAAGAGCATGACGTATCGATGATAGAGGATAGTCAGGAAAATACAGTTTCTA